ATTTTGTTTTTCATAATTCCATTAGAGCCGTAAAGTACGTACGGGAAAAAGAAAATTTAAAGTGATTATGACGTCATAATGGATCTGACACCAAAAAGATAGTCTAAAGACATTTACTAGACCTTTACCTTAAAAAATAACTTATCAGGACCCTGCAATGTTGTTCCTGGGAAGATATAAATTTTAATCTTATTATTCATTTATTGACCAAGTTCGAGGGCAACATGCGTTTTGTCGGACTCAAGAACCAAACGGTCTGCCTGACGCCGTTAGGCCAAAGTTTTGTTCGAGGGTCGACAAAACGCATTTTGCCCGATAACAAAGTCAATAAATGTTTTTGCTATACCTTTAATTTAATTTATGTGATATACATGTATTTTGTACTGTCTTCTGTGATGTAACCTCGGGTCCGTCACTGTTGAACACCAACGAATGAAAATAAGATTAAGCTCCGCCCATTCTGTGACGTAAGCGGTGCAACATCTCATCGACCAGTCCAACATCTTACTCAGCGGTCAGACATCGATTTTTTTTATGACCGCTCAGCTAAACATTAGAAATGTTAAGACTTTTTCGTATAGCTCTGTATAGGAACAGTTTTTTAAAGGTATAACAAATATTTATATGAAACTTTTCCCCTCCTATTGCAGCAACCAAATCCCAAGGACCATGATTTGAATGAATTCAGACCACTTTTATCCCCCAGAGGAGTTATTCCAACAAACATGACTCTTTATTATACATTACGCTTACGTCACAGAACACATTACACTTACGTCACAGAATGGGCGGAGCTTTATCTTTTTTATTCGTTGATATTCAATAGTGACGCACCTAAGGTTATATCACGGAAGACAGTACAAAATTCATGTATGTAAAAAAAAAATTAAAATGAAAGGTATCACAAAATATTTATTTACTATGTTCTCAGGCAAAATGCGTTTTTGTCGACCCTCGAATCAAATTGTCTACTAACGGCCTCAGGCAGATACTTTGGTTCTTTGGTCCGACAAAACGCATCTTGCCCTCGAACTCGGTAAATAAATAGAGAATATTGCAAACTAAAATCCATATCATATGTCATATCAGTCCGAGTTGCCCCGTATCAGCCTGAGGGCCGAGGGCTGATGTGACGTATGATTTGGATTTTAGTAGTATTCTGTTAATCATATATCAAAAAAACTTTATATGCGAGTTCACATGTCATATGGTCATACTCATTGAAGAATATTTCGTGTCTGTTTATGACTTTTTTCTGTAAAATCTAGTAGAGTTAATTTTAGGTAACTAAAAAAAAATAAGACCATAAATGTCAACAAAGAATTATTTTACATGAATATTTACAAAAAATCAAGTTAATTTATGCAAACGGTCGGATACGTATATATTGATATGGGGTATTGTTGATCGCACCGTGCAGAATCGATGTATTTACTACTAAGTATATAATAAATGTATAATACTGCCTGGGGATCCAAGTTTATCAAACTTATTATAAGTCCATTATTTACACTATGACTCGAACGATTTTCCCGCGGTTTCCCGGTCATGACAAGGAAAATTCACTGAACGGCAGGGATGTCATCATGACACTTCTACCTCTGATGTTTTAGATGTCGATGTTTGCTCTGCTCCAGAATTATATTGTTCCTTGGAATTTTGAGCTTGAAAATTCCTCTTGTAATAGGAAAGGTATACGTAGTAGGAAAAATTACCCAGCCCTATTTGCCTTTTTTTTTGCTAGCCCGCAATGGATCGTGAAAAATACAAAATTTGAGTGTGATCAGGGCAATTTAAAAGTTTACGGAGAAAAATACAAACTGCTATGAGAGAAATCGGGCAGAATTTTGTATAAAATGCTCACTTGAGCTTAACATTTAAGCAAAAAAATATTTACACCGTCTTAGGTTCAAGTGTCATCTCTTTTTTTGGTAGCAGCTAATAGTATACAATGAAAGGCATGTAGGTAGTTGTGATCGACTAAAAAATACAAAGCTGTGATCAAGGCATAAAAATTGATATCATTGCAAAATTTACACAGTAGCAAATAAGATACTACAAACAAAACACTGAAGTGATCAAATCCATTGTAACAAGAGTGTTTTATGTCCAATATTTCGGAGGGGAATGACTGATAAAAATTTAAATATTTAAAACATAAAATACATGAAAATGGTAAATAAAAAAAACCTTAAGCATCTTTTTAGGAGAGGGAAGTGGTTATAGTCATTTTCAATTTTTTTTTTTGGGGGGGGGGGGGGTTTGACCAAAAAAACATGCGGCAAAAAGGGGGCTTTTGTTGAAGGGAGTCTTTGAACATATATTTCCGTTCATAATATATTTTTTATCTCTTAAATGTAAGCTCATTAAGCACTAATTAAATAAAAAATATTTAAATGGACGTTTCCTTCTTTATCTTTATTTATTCCAGAAAAAAAATAATATTAACATTTTGTAGAAACAAGAGAAACGCATTTTTTATTTTCATAAACAACAGGTTTTAACAGAAATAATTTTAGTAAGCATAAAAAAAATATTCTTGAAATTAGTTATAAGACCTCAAGTTAAAGGAATAATATAAAGAAGAGAGTTTGATTTTTAAAATAATGGTGTGACGTGGAGGGAGATACGGCAACATTTATTTTCATATTTGACTTAATTTCAATGGCTGAATAATTATTGCAGGATGGATATTGATTGCAATAATTTGAAGTGAAATTCATTTCACTGCGTCTTAGAACTTTCAAAGCTTTTGTAGCAAACGATCCGCCAATATCTAAGTAATTATTTCTTTGTTGAATGTTCAATGCTGACACCACAGAGTTTTGAAAAGTTCAATATAGATTTACATAATTATAATATCAGACTTTACTCTGGTATATTCTGTCAAAGCTTGGCAACCGAGTATCAATGACAAGACATGACCTTCCACGACCTAGGCAGATTTCACACCAATATTTAGTCTATACAATTAAAACTATATCACTAGTAGAAAAAAGATAGAAATCCACATCGTGTCACTTTCCACTAATTGAGTCCGATCACTCCTGTCCTGAAAAGTCCGGACCAGCTCCAATTCTAAAGACCCTGTCTGCAAACCGACTCCTCTCTGATTGAGCCTCGTGACAAAATCTCCGTCTACGATCGGAAGCTTTTCTGCAAGTGGCAGATTAGGTTTACATGATACTGCAGAGGAGGGATGATTTATAAACCAAACACAGGTAAACAAAGGGAATACCTGATCACAGGTATAACTCACCGTGTCACGCGCAGATAGGCGCCGGATTGCAGATCAAATATCACTGGAAACTGAAACATTGTGTAATCATAAAGCTCGTCAACAGACACTCGCAACATTTTTCGATACATTATGAAAGTGATGCAAATGACAATGTGGATAAATTTCAATTAAATAAGCTCGAATTTTCTGCATAATCATTCGCTAATTATAATAGATTCGAGGATAAAATTCTTTTGGTAACCACCTGCATATTGCGAAACACGTTTCTTTTCCTCCGAGTTCCTATGCTCCTACCTGCCGATCTGCAGACAAAGTTTGTGAATTTTCGCACGAACTCGTTGAATGTCTTTTTGAATAAGAACAAGATAACAAAAACCATATAATAGTGATGAGCATTGCAAAAACACGGAGCAGGCAGCAATAAAAGTCGGTAATGTACATAAAACATGCTGCAGATAGCATCAGCCCGCTAACGAGATTACATTATAAAAATTATATCAGCAAAAAGACTATTTCTCCTTGTAAACATTACAAATAGACAGCGATTATTGAATTTATTTCAAATCATTAGAAAAGAATATTTCAGCGATTTTAACAATGCTAGATCGATGTGGTAAATAATTGAACAATAATTTAGCACTAAATGCCAGAGAAAGACAAGAGTCGAATCCCGAGATGAACTATTTAAAAATTTGGTTTCTATTGCATAATTATGCGGCACCAACGTCAGGTTGATATATACAAACCATCCATCAGCCTGCTAAATGAGTCTTGTAAAAAATACTAGAGTAGTGAAGAATCGAGTGTGTTTTCCATCACTTAAAAGACATCCTGAAGAAACGCTACCGAGGCCTTCATATCTCGACAGAACGAGACGGAAAGCCTCTGTATGGAGGCACAGCAGCGGGGTAGAGGCTTCGGTACCAAGTTCTGACAGAAAATATTCATCCTGGTGAAACTGACTCGTGACATCGAGAAATATTCCAAAATGAAACAAACATGATCTGGCAAATATAAACAACAACATCCATCTCTTTTTAACATAGCTCTAAATTTTAAAGTTAGAACTTAGAAATACTTTCTAAGTTGTTAAGAAATTGTTAGATCTTTCATGTAGTTTTCTTTTATTAAACAGATTTTGATGCAGTTCTTTGCAACACAGTTTAAATCATTGTGTTATTTATGAAATCATTTTTCATAGGTGTAGTTTTTAAAAGACTTTGATTAAGTGAATATTGCCAAGTCTCAATTCCCTTGTATAAGAAATTGTAGATAATGAAAACAGACACACAATGTAGTATATAAAAATCATGGCTTTATTCATTTCGAACAAAGTATTGTCACTCATATGGCTAGCTGACAAGTGTGTCAGTAGCAAACGCTTAACTAATATATAAAATTTTGCAGATTGTAAAATAATTATTTTGTAGACATGTGACACAAATATTAATTGAAAAATAATGAAGATTACCTTATATATAATAGCTAGTACCAGGATGAAGTTGGAATTAATACACAACTAAATTAGCAAAATCATTTTTTAAAATATTTTTTTAGTGCTGAAACATGTTATGTTTTATTTTATTCTATTTAATTCATAATAACTTTGAATTCTTCAGACATATGATTGTCATAATGTTCAGTATGAAAGTAATGCTTTAAAAGGTAAATCGAAAAATCAACATGGAAATAAAAAATAAACTAAAACCGGAGCAATTGAAGAACACTTGTTCTTATGAACAAAAATTAAGAAACTGAAATTTAAATTTTAGAAGACATTTAAAATACCTTTTTGTTTAAAATAAAAATATGTTACTTTTTCCTGTACTTAGAATTTGTTTTCCAAGACATTTCAGGAATTTCAGTTTTAAAAATGCTAGCCATGATATGTAGACATTCACCCACTACATGTGTGTAGGAGATAAACAAATAAATCACTGATTTAGATATAAATCAATAGCCTGTACAACAACAATATATATATATACAATGTATATAAATAAAAACAGAAGGGTTATCTTTGGTTTTGTAGTAATACTTCACATAGCGGATTTTTAATTCGTGTGGATATATTGAATTATACAGGGTATTCCTCTGCCGACACAAATATCAAAATAACCTTACTGGTGTTAATGTTCAGTGTTAAAAGCACCTTCTAATTATGTCAAATTCATGTAATTGACACAGGGCAATATAGGAACAGAATTTGTATAAATTATTATGCTATTTATACAGCAAAGCTGCATATTATCATACACTTTAGTATGATACCATAGTCCAGATTTTCTTAGGAAAAATCTTTGGTGAAGTCAGCACATTCATACTTTTCACAATCACACTGGATTTACAAAGTTTCCTTTGAACTGACGACATAGAGGATTTGGTTTTCATGAACACAATCATTGACTAGATTGGGGTTAAATCCGGATGTCCCAGCATATGAGTAAAGTGATGAGTCGGGTCGAGAAGCCCGGTTCCGGCTTCCATTAGTCTTGTTTTTGTATTTGGTAATTTGTGTTCCTTTTTCCATTTCATTCTTCTGTTCTGAAACCAGATTTTGATTTGTCGTTCAGACAGACACAGGGTATGCGCGATCTCTATTCTCCTCCTTCGTGTTAGATACCGATTAAAATGGAATTCTTTCTCTAATTCCAGAATTTGGTGTCGAGTGTAGGCAGTTCGATTCCGTTTTGATTCCGAAACTAAGTTGTTACCTAAAACATACAGAAAAATTTCATTTAGTGAAAATTTAAAATTGAAACATTTGTAGAGCAATATTTTAGAGAATCATAATATCTTTTTTTCCATTTTTGGCCATATCTTTCAGTACAAGTTCAATCAGAAAACTTTTTTCTCTAGCTCTCTCTCTTTCTCTTTAATAGACCATTTTTTTTTAATTTCGTAATTATTAGGGTTAATGATTCAAAATATATATTTGAAGTGACCTTGAAATTTAAAATGTTAAAAATTAAAATGAAAACAATTAGGCTGTCGCCGGGGAATAGCCAATGTCGCATATCAATGAGGCTAAGGTTAGAACCTGCGTTAAACGTAAATATATGAATTTTCACTGCGTCTGCTTGAAAACAATATATGGGCGCGTGACACACACAAGGAGCACCTTTGTGCCAAGAAATGTCGAGTTAAATACCAGAAACGAACTTAACGGATCAAGGAAATCCGGGAAATAACATTCTGAATACAAATGTCTCACTAAATATTACGTAAAATGTTGGATATTTTCTGATGATTTTTTTCCCAATGGTATTTGTTCAGTGTTAGCACTCTCTTGAACATTATTCGTACAACTTCTTAGAAATTTTCCAAGATCAGACTTAAAATTGCTGAATTTCAATGAAATTTATTTTTAAAATTAATTTTTGTATTTATCGTAGAATGAAATAATTAAATTTCAAGAACTGTATTTCTCATTTTAAAAAGTGATTTTTCCTGGTGAATTTTCTTTTTGTTTATTACCCAGATGACAACAAACTTTTAACATGAGCGGAATTCTAAAGTTTCCGCCCTTCAAAATTAAGCGTGTGAATTTTATGAAATCAAAACGGACAAAGAGTGTTCTTTCTGTATTTCTTTTAAGACATAACAAGCTCGCAGGTCACAGAGATTTTTAACCTTATATTCATAACCAGCCGAGAACATGAAATCTAACTTAGACCTGACAGGTATATTTGGCTGTGCCTACGGTAGAAATGACAGTAACTTCTATTAATTTTCTGCGCTTTTTAATTGCATAACTATCGGAAACAGAGATCTTCACACTGAAAACATGCCATCAACAATTTGAAAAACTAACTTTTAAAAACTCCAAGGCAGAAGGTGATAATTTAGTTAATAGTGCGTTTGCCTTCTTATTCCATATAGAGCACAACATTTTTCAAAAATTGCATCAACTGAAATAAAAGTAAACTACCTTGGATGCTGTATATTGCAAAACAAAGGACAAGATGTACGTGAGCTGAAATATCACCTTCTAAATTTTATAATGAGTACCTTGGCAATTGTAAACAATAAACTGTCGAATACACTATTTTTTTAAATTGATGATGTTGTACTTTTGTATTCTCTACGTTCGTGATTTTGACACATGAAATAATTTTTTAACCACATCAAGGAAATCTGATTTACGATTTTTAAAATGTTTTATTATTCATACAAAGTAATAATATTTGATACAGCATGCTTAATGTCGAATACGACCTTGGCACTCAAATTTAATTGAAACTCCCTCTCTTACTATTCGGGAAATTTATAGTGTGCTTCCCTTGAGGAAGTCGTTAACCAACATAATTGTGTTTTCCATTCTCCACTTTTATTTTATATCAAAATAAATTAATAATTTATTAGAAAAAAATATTACATTTTAGATGACGGAATTAAAATTTATATATTTAATTTAATAGATAAGTATATTTAAAGCACTTCTTTCGAGGGGGAAATTGTTAAACAAATTTGAGCCAAAACTATTTCCAATCCCTTTCTTTAATACAATTCCTAGTACCACTCCCGCTATGTTGTGACCTAATTACATGACCACTGACATAGGACAACAAACTGTAAAATATCCTTTTTGTTGGCGTTTACATCGGAGAAAATTCTTAATAAATCCTACCGGTATGACACTTGTAATTTTAAATTTTTCCTCTTTAATTTATTTATTTTTAAAGCTTTACAAATTCAAGAGTAAAATTGTATAATATTTTTAAAAAGAATAAATTTATTTATATTTAATACCTTGATATATTTTTTAATTCATTGAATATGAAATACTTCAAAATACTCTATATTTTAAAAGTTATGAAATGTTTTGTGAAAATTATAATATTGTGAAAATATAATCGTTTCCTAAAGTTTTTTAAAAGTCAGATTCGGTATGACAAAAACTGCAACAAGAGAATTGAGGAAAATATCAATTTTAGAAGAAAAAAAATTACATCGTTGGAAAATGTCAGATGCTGTACTTAAAAAGTCGGCATTCATGCGGGGTTGTACATGTCTATTAACACTTGATAGGAATTTCAATTTAATCCTAAAACATGAGTGATGAAATTTGCAATTAATCGGGTTTATTAGCAAGATGGGAGGAAAAGAAAGTCTGGAGGTAACGAAGTACAACAAAGATGTGCACTCAAAATTTGGAAAACATGACAAGTTTCTGACATCCTTCGAAAAGGCCAAGATATACACAGATGTATTTTGTAATTGAAGTGTTGGTATTTTACGAGGTTTGGATGGTAAGGGTGAAGTCTGATAGACTAAGAGACCACAGATTTGACGCGTTTATGATTGTAATCGAATGAATGCAAGTCTTCTTCTCTTAACAGGCCTCACTTAACAGAACAATCAAAGAACATCAGGTCTTATTTTGAATTAGTGAATGAAATTTCAATAATGTCGGAAAACGATCCGTTACCTTAGCAATAAACACCCGGGTAACAACAATTCCGTGATGCGTGTGTAACATAGCTCGTATTGTGATTCTGAATTGATTTATTACGATAGTTATTGGCCATAATCGCTCCCCATTAAAGCTCGAGGTGAGAAGAAGCTTCTTAATTCAAGTTTATAGGCAATTTGTAGCCATTATGAGGACTTAGCGTTATGATAGATTGTTTCGACACGCGAACTTTGTTGGTTTATTTATTTAGTTACAATGATCTGCCTCATTTGAAAGCTATATCCCCCTTTATACTAACTTATAAATGATATCATTATTTTCCTCCGATCTTTTAGTTAAGAACAGGTAAAGTTCTTCATATTACCCCATTTACTCGCGGATCACGACTTTTAATTCACCGACCCAAACACAGCTCATATTTTGTAATCTCTACATATAAATTATTAATAACATTTACCGCTTTGTTTATAGACGCACCATCCATAAAAAAATACCAAATGTAAATCATTCATAAGAAATATGACATTTGACAAGTTGCATGCGAACGAAACAAAAAAAATTCAATGGAATATTTTTTTTAATTAAATTTACAGGAATTTAAATTGAATTCGCTTACCTGGGTTGTTACCCTGGCTCTTCTTCATCCACGGGTAAATAACGGGCTGACCATCTGACTGTTGTTGGGCACAGGAACTCTGTGAGAGGGGTGAGGAATTTCCATCAGGAGAGGGGACGGGAGGGGGGCTAGGAGTAGAGGACTGTGAAGAACCAAACCCATTCATTGTCCCTCCCCCACCCCCGCCATGGTTAGACACGGGGGGTGAGGGTTGTGGCGGTGACACAGGTTCGTTGTTGGTACACCCTCCGTACTGATTTGGGGTATATTTTTCCTCATCATACCTTCTTGGATCAGGAAATCCGTAATGTGTTTGAAAATTACTTCTGTAGTAGTCAGTTCCATGATTTGGAATATAACTTTGTTGTGAGAACTCGTCCGCGGGAGGGAATTTCGGTTCAGTATATTGAACTGGAGTCATCAAAAACGAACTCATGATCATTAATTTTCACCGAATTGGTTGTAAATAATTCCAACTCGTTACTACACATATTCTAGTTTCACTTGCTAGCCCTCCCATCTTTCTATATCATTTTGTCACGTGACTAAGAATAGCCAATGGGTGTATACATCCAACCCGCTCAAGCAGAACGTTGAAGACTAGGCGCACCGTCAGTGGCCTTTGGCGATAAACAGCTATTAAAATATTTTTATCTAATAACAAGTATATTGTAATTCCTAAAAACCCGTTGTAATAATTGGGATCTAAGACTTAATCTTTTGTTCATTAACATCATGTTTTTTTACGGTAGGAATTCGAGAACATGATAAAATTGAATACCCACGTCGGAGAGATCAAAACAAAACAGGTTTGAGTGGAAAATGTACGCGTATACTAACGTGTTAATATAGAAATATTAGATTTTTAAAAACAAAATCCATCAATAAAATTTTATTTAATCCATAAAAAAGGGGGAAATCAAATTTAATTTAAATTTCCAAATTTCTTATTTAATTAATTTGAATTAGAATTTTGCAGTAACATTTTGCTGAATGAAATATATCTATATAATTATATGCAAAGAACATAATCTTGGTTTTATTACAAAAATTTGATCAATCAAGGAAATATCCTGTATTATTGTTTTTAATGACAGTTTTGCTCAACTTTGTTCATCTAGTTATGGTTATTTGTAGCGTTCAGTGGAAACTCGCAGAATTTTACGATTAAAGTCTTTATTTATGGTGGCACTAATAAATAAAATCTTTTCATCGTGCTAATGGAACACTGACACAAACCAATTTTTACAACCATTGTCAGATTTATGCCCTAGAAAATTGAATTGAATAGTTACAAATTTATAACAGATATCTGGCTATATATACTAATTATGTTATGATTCTCTTTACTTTTCCTGATTCACTAATTCTACTTTTCTATCACAAAAAATGAATCTTTGCATTTAAACTCAAATGACTTAATTACTTTTGCAGGGTTAAAAATTGACTTTCTAAAATTGCATGAAAATGTTATAATTTTTATTTTAACCCCCAATATATTTAAATGCACTAATTTCTCTCTACAATTGTAAATAACCATTCAATTCTATATATCAGTAGTTATTTTTGAATAACATGTAATTGAATTAATAATTTCATAAAAAATGAAATCTAATTTTTTATTCATATTTTAAATATCCACAACTATATTAAGAAGATACCTGATTACAAACAATTCATTACTAATAGTATAAAACTTGAAATCTTCGACACATATACAGTTAACAGACTGTGTAAATCAGTTGAGTGTGATGTTGTAAAATTAATGAAGATGACACTAGGCAAATGTTGCCGATTCATATGTTGCCAATAGTAAAACAGGGATCTGTCAGTGAAATCTGGTCCGCTGGCAGGCCTTAGATCAATGTTTCACATCCATCCACATGTGCAGGCAACAGGCACAAAATCAAATCAACTGTAGCTGTTACCGGTGCAAATTTATAAACATGTACATGTGCGACTTGAAACAGATAAATTCGTTTAATTACACATTACCCGGTAAACCTTAAAACAAGTAATATATACTAGACAGTATATTTATATAATGCTTTCACATTTTCTAGGACAAAGCTTTAGAAATGCTGCATATTTACATTTGACTTAATATAATACATGTAATCACATTTTTTTTTTTTTCAGAAAGAAAACACATTGTGTATTAGAAAGTATTATAAAAGTGTAAGCAATAATATCTGCAATAAAAAAGCAATAAAAATTAGTAACGTTTAGAAATAAGGCAATAAAAATTAGTGTTTGAATTCCACAATTACACAAGAACACGGAAACAGAGCTGTTGTAACAAAAAACATGACAAATTGGGCGTTAGGGCGCGTGGTTCTTACCCCAGAGGCGGTACAACTGGACCGTGGGATTATCGGGTCAGAAATCTTGCCCAAATCCTCTGATAAATGAATCTGATCTACAGCAGTTGTTTGTCCAGTCTAAATTCAAAGAAAAACAAGGTTTTCCTCAGACCATGCCTCGTCTTCAAAGGGTTTTTGAAGACTTCTTTTTCGCGTTACATGTACAAGAAAATTCTCCAGGTTTACATGTTGAATAAGATTTAAGAAAATTGATATGTATCACTCTCTAATTAAATTGTTAGGGTTAATAATACGAGTCATTTGAACTGATTAATGGACTTGTATTTTTAAAATAAATTTAAATTGTTGTTCACAATTTTTTTTTCTGATTTTTTACTTTATAAGATAAAATATAGATTTCTTTGATGATAATTTCATTATTAAAATCTATTTTTCTACTTTTATTTGACGCGTATACAATTAAATACATAATTACAAAACTACTGAAATTTCCCCTCTTTATATTGTGTTAACTCTAAGATCATTTATTTACTTAAAATCATCCAAATATACGGTACATCAGAAGAATGCAAAAAATTTAGAGTATACATGTATAAAATTAGGTCAGAGGAAAGTGTAGGATATATTTCAGAAAATGAAATGGCGGCGTACTACATAGAAAAAAATGTAAACAAAAATAAACACATTATAATGGTATAAATGAGGGGAAGATATGGAGGACAAACTAAATCATATATTTTTCATATAAACACATAGATATTTTTCAATTTATTGGCATCTTGTTTTGTCATCAGATAAAACAATTAAATATATTTGGTCAAGCAAAGTTTTCATTAATATACCCCCACCCCCCATGTTTGACATTGCAGTACATGTACATTTAAGAATACATGTATAGTTCTGTTTAATTGAATTGTAAATTTGCCCATCTTCTCAGCTCAACTGGTACATGGTGAATGGGAGTAAAAAAAAATACAAATATTTTTTTCTAAATTTTGGGTGGCAATATACTTAAAATAATGTTCACATTGAAAATATGATTTTAAAAGTTAATACAAAACACCTTCGGAAGAACTATTAATGTCAGTATGCCATTTTATTTTTTTTACAAATTGATTTAGTTTGTAAGTTATGCTTTACATCAGTAAGAATTCTGATTGACACGTGTAACTAGACTGATCATGTTAAATATTATTAGATCAGTCCGCATAAATCAAAACTTCAATGAACACAGTAGTTCCAAGCGACCATACCAATTTCGGATTATCAGACAGCGATGATATATCTATATAGATGTATTTTTTTTTCAGAGCTATTAATTAATTTACACCAGTATGAAACTATCTTGAATGCACATGGACAGATAATGAAGAGCGCTCCGTTTAGAAACAAAACATAATTTGGGATCGATCATTTTATTTCATTGGAAATTTGAGTTAAATAATTTTACTTCGTGGTTCATAATTTAGTTAAACTACTCAGCATTCCTTTTTAAAATTTAGGAACGAGTATATAAACAATTCAAATCTTACCTAGCAAATAAAAAATGCAACAAGTTCTATCATCAGGAACATATACACTTGTATATTAACGTCTTCACAAAACGTCACACACAACCTTACATTGTACGAAAATTTTAGTCTATAATATGTATATATTTTCTATTTTCAGTACACATATTATCGTTTAGTACATGTAATGTTTGAATTTGTTTACGGGGTTAAAAAAAATAATAAAACGAAAATGGGAAAATAATTCAAATAAAAGTTAACGACAACCAAAGAATTCATTGAAATCTTGGAAATTTGGCAGATCAAGGAAAAATTATAATTTTTTGAGTAAAATGCAAATATACAAAGATAAAAAGTATAAACAGTCAAAAATTACATATTTTGAAAAAAAAAATTTGGATTGATAAAACCGTTTTAATATTATGATATTTTAATTTTATAACATTAGGACCATAATTCATTTAAAATAATTATTGCTATACGAAATCTTCTAATTTGCGAGATATCACTACATTTAGGTTCCTTCTCTCATGTTGAAAACAATGGAAGTCGGAATTCATCTTAACTTTGAAATTAAAGCTAACATTTTTTTTTAGAGGGGCGCAATAAAAATAAGCAGAATAACACACGAGCACTCATATCTGTTGATATAAGTAGACAAACGGAAGGCGAATGACCTTTTTCGTTTTGTTTTATACCATCAGTGACTAATTTTCGTTTTATTGGTAGCTGGTGCATACTTCCCTCCTCCAATCTTTAGTAATCTAGTCTGGGGACTTTGGGGAGGTCAGGGGGGACAGCTGGGGGTCATTGTTTGGTCAGATATTTCTAGGGAGGGTCTGTCAGGGGGATGGGGGTTATTAATGTACACATTTTTCATCTTCACCCAAAAGACAACCGGTCCTTTTCATGAGCAATTAGATTCCCATCGAGCGATTCTGGTCCTCTTTGACAAAACTTCAGGGATATTAATGGTGGCTGTGAAATATTGGAATGTAGCAATTATTATTTATTGAGATGAATGGGTCTCTCACCTGCCTCCATTTTATTTTTTCTCAAGATTTAAACTGGGATGTAGAAACTGTACAAGAGATTATAAAGACTGGGTTTGATAACATTTTAGTCCAGCAGTCTCTTGAATGTCAATTTATGTATACAAAATGTACAAGTGTCACTTCTTCCCCATTTATATCAAACTGTAGCAGATCGTATTAAGTTGTCAAAAGTAACCTACTTTACCATTTCATTATTATGACAGAAATATCATGGGTGTCACTTTATTTATTATCATGTAGGTAAATTTAAGAATTTTCTTACGTTTTCCAGATATTATTACCTTGTATTGACAAATTATATTCTATTTTTAAACTATACTTGTACATTGTATATAAATGTGCACATGACATATACTGTATAATACTTGCAATCGTTTGACAAAGAAATCAAGTTTTGATTTTAACAATTTTGCAAGTATATTTAATCTCTTTTTAACCAGATATATTTTGTGTGCCAGGCAACTAACAGGAGTAAATGTGCAGTTTGTGAAGAAGGTGCTAAAAGTAAATATCGTATGTACGCTGCACAAAAATGTCTGCAAATATTCTTGCTAAAATAGTTTTTCCAATTGTCTGTTTATAATTCAAAATTACATGTATATTCACATTTATCT